CCCATGTCTCAGAGGATAGGGAAGGGCTACCAAGAGTTAATCTTGCATCTTCTGCACATAGCTTTCAGATGATTGCTTGGTCACAGAGTTTAATTTGGAAAGCAAATTCCTAATACTAGAGATCTGTGATAATGCTGATGTCATACAAATAATCAGATTTCAGTGCTGAACATGGACTCTCAGCAACAGTGATTAAATGCTCAGTACACAGAGAGAGCTCCCTTAAGCATCATCAATATCATTGTGACAACCATTTAGAGATTAATAATCACCACACTTAGGTCATTTTTTTAAAGCACCAAGAGACTCAGAGACGCCAATAGATTTAATACCTTGTGAATAGATTTAATAGCTTGAAAGGACTCCACATGGTTGTTGATGGCACGCTGTGCTGTTCAGGCCCCAAGGATTTGGGACTATGTAAGTGCATCAATGTGCTATTGAATTCTCCCCTGAGAAAGGAAAGTACATACCTCCCTAAGACCTCTCCCTTTGTCACTGGCTCCCTGTTCTTCATCAGTGTCAGGGTACACATTGGTGAGGCCTACAAGGTACAGTCGGGAGGATTCTGTTTTGGTTTTCCATCGAGAAACTCGATTGAAGCAGCACATGGTAGTGACCCAGCTGGCACAGGGTAGCTTCTTGATTGCTAGGGTCTACTCATTTGATAGGGTTCATTGGGTAGATCCCTAATATCTGTGTGCCTCAAACTCTGGTTAACAGGGCTGCCCTTCCAGAGAAAGAAGACTCTGTAAGGCTGTGAAGAGGTCTGCTCCAGGGAGCAGAAAGTCAAGAGTTACAATATCTCTTTGCTCCAAGGAGACACCTGCATGGAAGGCACTGAACACTGTTTTTGTTAGGTGATGATTCCATTCATAGCCACCTGAATCACTTAAAGGAGAGGCAAGGTGTGACAATAGTATATGGGAAAATGGTTGAAGGTCAAGATCTAGCAAATCTGTGCTTGACTTGGGAGTTCCAACTTCCCACCGGGGCTTCTGGAGCCATGGAACTAATTGTAAAATCAGGCAACAAAGCGGGCAGTGCAGGAGGCTGCCTTCTTCTCCCAGGTAGAGACAGCTTCAGCTCTCCATTGGAGACCTGGCCAATTCTTATGTTCTCTGGGAATATTTTGGATATCAGCCATTTCTCTTGTAGACTAGTGGGTTTTAATTGCAAATAATAGGATCCACCTTGGTAACAACAGGGTCCAAGAGGCAGTGGCTGACTTCAGGCATATCTGCAGCCAGGCCTTCAGATTCTTTCCTTGGGAATCTGCCTCTCTCTCCATCTCCTTCGGATTTCATTCTCAGACAGGTTTTCTTCCAGAGCAGATGGTCTACTAGAACTTGAGATTTATATTTTTTGCTTCTGTATCTGAGAAGGAGAAAGACTCTCTCCCACTCAGTTCTTGAAAAGTGTCTCTGATAGGTCCTGCCATCAGATGGTGTTCCTTCATTGCCCAGTGTTTCTTGGGCCACTATGGGGGGACTTGGTTGACACTTTGCTTTCTGAGGTCAGAGGCCATGTGTGTATTGGGGGGCAGGGGCTGTTCTTAAGGAAAAGCTGCAGTGGAAACTGTAGGGTGGCAACAAGAAAGGTCCCTGTGGCTTGCCTGGGCTGGCTTTCCAAATGATTTAGGTGAGTAGGCTTTGGATCAAAGGTCTAGGTTCAAATGGGAACCCCACCACTCACCAACCATGTTTCCCCAGACAAACTACTTATGCTCCCACTGACTCAGTTTCCTTATCTGGTGAGTAAGGACAATGACGGTACCTGCATCAAAAGATAAATGAAAAAAAATCTGAAGAAAGTGAAGAACTCAAGACAGTGCCAAGTACATAATACGGGCTCAAAAAATATTGGCAATCATTAAAATCTTACTGCTCTAGAAATGACCAAGAAACACAGAAAGGGCATTCTATTGTTTCCCTAGCCTATGTTCTGAACCAAAAGGAAGTCCTTCCACACATCTGAAAAGGTCAGCTTTACCTACAAAACTGAAAATACTTGCTTATTCTTGTCCTGAACTATCAGAATCACCTCTAGGAAAACTGAGATGGGGATTCTTTTCATCAGTTACATAAAAAGAAAAAGAAAAAGAAAAGCTGGACTCTGGAATCATGCCTATCCTAGGACCAAAGACCTTGCCCTCCATGGAGAGGCTCCCTTCTTATCCTCTGAGGGAGCCTCATGGCCCATCCTGAATTCCTTGTCGCGTGGTAGTCCCCAGTGCAAAGGATCAGAGCTTCTTTCTCTTCTTTTGTGTGGCAGTTTAAGAGGCTAGTCAATATGTCTACACAGTCTTTCTCTTCCATGGGGTGATATTTCCTGATCTTTTTAATGTCTTATGAATTGAGAGTGGAGTGAGGCGCAGCTTTGCTTTAGTGATTGTGTCAGTCAACTTTCCATCACTACAACTAAATATCTGAGATAATCAGTCTATAAAGAGAAATGGATTATTTTTGCTCACAGTTTGGGAAGTTTCATTCCATAATTAGTTAGCCCCATTGCTTTTGGATTTGTGGCAAGGCAGGACATCACAGTAGGAGCCTGTGGCAGAGCAAGACTGCTCACGTCATAGCCAAGAAGCAAAAGAAGAAAGGAGAGGGGGCTGGAGTCTCACAGTCCCCTTCAAGGGCACATGTCCCTAGTGACTTAAAATCCTACAAGGCCCTATCTCTTAAGGACTCTACTACCTCCAATAGCACAACCTAGACACCAGTCATTTAGCACCCAGGCCTTTGGGAGACATTCAAGATCCAGACTACAATAGCCATCAAGAAATGTGGTCTCAATGATGCCAGTCTGTGACTGTGGTGTGAGAGTGTAGTGGCTGAGAATTCAGACTCTGGAACCAAACTGAGTTCACATTCCAATTCTGTAGATTCAAGGATGAGCAGGGTTGTTTCAGGAATTGAGTTAGTATACATAAAGCACTAGAGCAGTGGTGGATCTGGTGAGCATTGCATCCAAACTGTAAAAGTGTCAGCTGTTAAGGTCACTGTGATCTTAAACTCTTAGAATGCAGATAATTGGTTCTCCATGAAAAAGAGGTGGGCAGGGAGAGGGCAGCCATAACAGGAATGGATTGACTAATGGGCTAGCATCCCTAGAGGCAGTATTAGGTTCCTACTGGGAGAAAGAAAGAGTTAGAAAATAGAGTTCTTTTCTGCAAGATACATCAAGGAACGCAAGTGCCAAATAATGATCTAAATTTGCAGAATTCTTTACAACCATAGGATTAATTACCAGTGAATGGCTGGAGGTATGAGCCTGGAGAAGAAGTCACTCTGCCTTTATTTAAGGCGGAGGTGGGGACTGAATTAGGTGTTGAGGATTGGAAAATACATAGATAGATGGGCAAAGCTTTCTAGTTCAGTATTGGAGTCAGTGTAGAAGTCTTAAGTAGGTTTGTGATTACAGTGTCAGAAGTTTATTGGAAGAGTTGTGGTCAAAGAGTTTGGAACTTCATGGAGTATTGAGAATGGAATGGTGGCATTTAGACATCACATGTTAGTCCACCAGAAGCCTTTGGACAATGAAGTGACCTGCTGAGAGCAGCGTTCAGGAGCTATCCCCTAGTGGGGATGAGCAGGATGAAACAGAAGACATAAGCTTACTCAGCACAAATTCACAGAGGCCCTACTGTGTGCCAAGGATCCATTGCTTCTGGGATCCAAAGAGAAAAGGCCCTTGATCTCATGGAGCTTGAAATTCAGTGAATTCTAGGTGAATCATTCTGGAAACACAAGTGGATACTAAAACTATTGGAAGATTGTTGGGAAGCAGGCTCTTCATGTGATCTAGAGTCTCACCTTAAGATGCTGTATTAACTATAAAAGGAAATGGGTGCCCTATGTTGGAGAACTCTAGTGTTCTCATCTTATCCAAGTGAGTGTACCTAGCATCATTGAGTTAGGATTTCTGGATGTGAAACCACCCCATCAGAGACTCTTAACGGAAATATTTAGACAAGATCTAATCCTGAAAAAACAACCAGACAAGTCCAGAATCTGGGACATTCTTTAAGACAGCCTGGGTTCACACAAAATTAAATGTCATTAAAAGCAAAAAGAAAAGAGTACGGGTGGATGTTACTTGTTGATTGAAAAGGCTAAAGTAGGGATTGGAATACTATAGTTCATGGGCTAATCCAGCCTGCTGCCTGTCTTTGTGAAGTTTTATTGAAACATAGGTATTTCTATTCTATCATAGATTGTCTACAGCTGTTTTCAAATTACGATTGCAGAGCTGAGCAGTTGCAGCAAAGACTGCATTGGCTCTGAGCCTTAAAATGCTTACTAACTCCCTATACAGAACAAGTTTCCTCACCTCTGGATTAAAGTCACATAGCAGCCAAATGCAGTGCAGGAACCTTGATTAGTTCCTGGATCAGGGGAAAATGAGGAAAGTATCAATAAACATAATTTTAGGGCAACTGGAGACATTTAAATAAGGATTGCATGTTAGATTAGGTTACTGAATTCATGTTAACTTTCTTAGATGTGGCACTGGTATCATTCTTACATTACACTTTATACTTCTTTTTAGTTGTTTAGAGGTTGTGTTGTGATGTCTACAACTTATGTGTAAATGGTTCAGCTAAAAAATGAAAGGAGAGAAAAAAAGAGAAGAAGAATATGTAGAGATAAAACAGATATGGCAAAATTCTAATATTTGGTCAATTTAAGTGAAGGACATTCAAGTGTTAATTACCCTGTTCTTCCCATTTCTCTGTAGATTTGAAGAGTTTTTTAAATAAACATGTAAGTTTTAACAAAATTCAAGGAGGTTCGTTGAGGGACCACTGAGCACTCGAGCTGTAATTTTCCTACAGGTCATGTGTGACCCTTATATGTCTCCATCAAGGAGTTCTTTCCTTGATGGTGAACACAGCCTGCCTCTCCCCAAGGAGGGCGCTGTGACACTGACAGGTGGCTCCTACAGGGTCTTCCCTTTGTAACTTGGGGACTCTGCTTGTTGTCTCTTTTGCACAGCAATTCCATCAAGCTGGTGAATCTGCTGTCCATATTTATCAGCACATGGCTGACCGCAGCTGGGTTCATCCACTTGGTAAGTACTCTTGAAGACTGCTCAGCTCTGGCTGGAACAAGCCCTTGCTGAATCACTTTATTACCTGAAATTGTTCTCGCTGGAGAGAAACTTCAGCTTAGTTGTAGACAGGAAAGGGGGAAGCAAACGCACAGTTATCTGGATTTCAAACCCTTTTACCCCAGAATATCTCCAAATGGTGAGTAATGTTTGTATTGTTCGCCTGCATTTTTCAGTTCACCAGTATTGCTTGGGAGGTTTCATTTGGTCTGCAGTAACTGCCGAAAGCCACAAGATGGCAGTGCTTCCACAGCAAACGCCCAGAAAAGGTCTGGGTACAAGGCTGAAAGTTCGACCCACATCTCTTTGTAAACAACAAATTCAAATCCCTCAATTTCTCTCCACTTCCCTCTTACAAAAAGCTGCCTTTGATTTTTTTTTTTTTGCCTGATTACTTGTCAAGTTATTTCGTACCTCAAAAAAATGTTAATTCTTTTATATTAATGACTCTTTGAAAGCCTTCTATTTTTAAGTCAAGCTCTTCTCACCTCCCCAAGGCATGTTCCCCCCCTGCTTTTAGAGGGCATAGCTATTATTGGAAGCATGGTTTTATACAAACATAGTCTGCTAGAATTGGAAGGGGCCTCATCAAACTCTGAAACTTTGAATAAAGATGACCTTCCTCCCAGGAGCCTCTCCCCAGATATGCGGACGTCACCCAACTCTTTATGCTGACAGGAATCTTGTCCATACTGACTCTTCATCACAGAAGATACTGTGTTCAAGAAGACAGTGACCCATCTTACTGTTATGTGAGGTGCTTTCTGGTTCACCAGGAAGCCTCCTTGAAAACTGCATGTAGAGGACAAACTGGTTTCTGAAAAAAGCCAGGTCCTGGGAATATTCTGCAGAGGCAGAACAGCAAACTGGCTGTCCCTGTAGGCCATGCAGGGGGCCACAAGTATTGGCTTCTGGTACTATGAGGCTGAGATCGGGGTAGAAATGGTCTCGTCATCATTCACTATCTTCTTAGAGTAGCTAAAGTACCTCTCAGGTAGATGAAATTTGATGGGAGACAGGACAGTGTTCTATAATGTTTGCAGCAGTGGTGGACAATCTGTAGCACTGGACCCAAGCTCCCCTACGATGTCAACTCTTTGCCCCTTACTGATTTCCAGGTACTAATGAATAGTTGGTAGAACTGTACGGCACACAAGGAACTGTATGGCTCAAAAAACTGAAAGAATTTACTCTCTGTCCCTGCACAGAAAATGTTTGCAGGCCTTTGGTCTAAAGGCTTGTATGAATGCAATTTGTTCCCATAAATTCACTCTTTTTCCTCCAGGGAAAATTCCCAAGAGTTCTGAAAGGCAGAACCAAGCTTGACATTCTACAGAGGAGACAGAGTAGGATCAAATTCAAAGATAGGGTTTGGTATTCAGGCAGAAGATCAGTAGGGCCCACTGGGTGTCTTGTTGATCAAAATGATGAAAGGAGGTGCCCTTTGTGGAGGGTGTAGGATTTCTGCAGGAGAGTAAGAGCCAGTCCCCTAGAGACTTAGCAAGAACCCATAGGGAAAGAAGGTCAGGGAAGGACTCACTAGCTCCTTCCTTGAACAGAGTGCTGAGGTGAGGCCAGAGGCAAAGTCCTGTTTCAGCTGGTGTCAGACTTTCTAGTTTTGTTTCTTCCTCTCTATGCTCAAGTCAGCCCCATGGGCACTTCCTGTTGCTGTGCCTCCTCTTCTCATGCCTGCTCAGGGGTTCTGAGCCACTGTGCACAGAAGTCAGCCCAGGGAACTGAGCATCCTGTGCTGAGAGTAACAAGACTCAGCAAGCAGCCTGCCAGTACGCCATTGTATCTGCAGTGTATATGTGTGTGATGTGTTTCTTTTCTCTCCTCTTACTTTAGGTGGAGAATTCAGGGGACCCATGGGAAAATTTCCAAAACAACCAGGCTCTTACATACTGGGAATGTGTCTACTTACTCATGGTCACAATGTCCACTGTTGGTTACGGAGATGTTTATGCAAAAACCACACTTGGGCGCCTCTTCATGGTCTTCTTCATCCTCGGGGGACTGGTAAAAACTCTTTATTATCATGCTCATAATTATGGTCATTAATATTTCTAGTATGCATTTCCTTAAGGCTCTGTATTTTTATAGTGTGTTTCTGCACTAGAAGCAAATGATTGTCTTAGTGCTGTGATCAGGCTAAGTAAATCCAAACATGACGAAGACTGCTATGCATATTTCCTTAGTGTTACCCTTATGCCTTACACCCAGGCATATTATCCTGGGGACATCCATGTAGCCAGGAGCAAACCTAACTGCCTTAAGAAAGGGATTCCACTAATAAGTAGGAGTGTCTGTCCAATAGTGATGGAGTTCAACATCTGATATTCTACAGGGACAGTTGTGTTGTGTCACCTGACCCTGGTAGCTGCTGTCCATAGTCTGTAGACAGTTTGCGGTTTCAGGAGCTCCCTGTTGCCTTATGCTCCTCCCCAAACTTCCAACAAACACTGTGGCTGGTGCCCACCCCAAAGAGAAGGGTCTCCATTCAGAGGACGGAGAGTGCATTGGACTTGTCCAAACACCACCATGAGGAGAGGGTGGTTTTGTCAGTAGCCCATTCTGTTCTGCATTGACACACGGGATATTTTCCCTTCCCTTTTAAAGTCAGAAAGCTTCAGAGTGTGCTGTAGAATCTATGCAACTCCTTATGTGGCACTCAAGCATCTTTCCATTTTGATGTCATTCCTTGCTGTGTATGAGGTGAGGCCTTAAAATCCTAATTCACACACAGCTTTCATGCATGTGTACTGCACACACATTTATATGAAGTCATGCATACACATCTCTCTGTCTTGTATGCATAGGACGTATGCATTTCCAAAAATGTATATAAATGTGCGTGTGTGTACATTAACTGAAGCACTTCTGTAGCATTTATTTGGTCCCAGGAGATGAAGAGAGCTGTTTATCCAGCCACAGGAAGCTGTTTGTTGGACAAAACATGGCAGATTTGTGTTTCTCTTTGCTATTCTTTTCCCCTTATATAATTTCCTAAATTTACCTTTTGTGCTTTTTAGTAATTTTTTAAGTGGAAAAGTTTATTTATTTTTTAATCTACTTTTAGTGTATATGGTCTTCAATCACTCATAAAAGTATTGATTCTTCTCTGAATGCTAATTAGAAAGAAAGGTCTTCTCTCACAATGTATGTGTTTCTGTGTGTGTATGTGTGTAATTTCACACAACCCTTTTACCTATTTTTCTCCAAGAGGAAGAGATAGATGACAGCTTATTTATTCTTGTCTTTTTTGTATTTTTCTCCACTGTGATTTTTCTTCCAGCTGTCTAGGTTGGCTAATGTTTGTTTTGTCCTGTGTATCTTCAGGAACTTGCCCTTTTTGTCCTTTTTATATTTTATTATTCAGCGAATTAATAAATACCTTCACAGGTCTAATCCTTTTGTGTTTTCAGATCTTAGTTCCCCCTTCTGAAAAGGTCACCCCTTTCTTTGGCCTGTCTTTTTAGTCTCTTCTTCTGTCTCCCCTCTTCTCCTCAGGCCATGTTTGCAAGCTACGTCCCTGAAATCATAGAGTTAATAGGAAACCGCAAGAAATACGGGGGCTCCTATAGTGCGGTTAGTGGAAGAAAGTAAGTATGCCAAGAGGTTTTGCTGCCTCCACTGTGGTACAGTCCTCTCTGCATGCTTTTTTTTTTTTTTTTTGGCTCTTGTTTCTTTGTTTCATGCATGTAGGCAATGTTTGCCCGCTACGTGCCCGAAATTGCTGCTCTCATCCTGAACCGGAATAAATTCGGCGGGACTTTTAACAAACATGGAGGCAGAAAGTAAGTCAGTTGCACCAGAGAAGATGTGGTTGAGTGGCTTTCAAGAGTCCCTGGGGCAATGACATTGAATCCTGCCCCTCCCCAGTCCACCCGAGTGCCTCTGTGAGGAAAGGCCCATATTCTGCAAGGGGTGTCAGAGGTGTTAACCTAGGAAGTTGTAACTCTTGCACCAACTCCCTAGGCCTTGTTGCCACTCACAGGTTCAAGAGTAGATTTATCTTGAAGGGGTCTCTATATAACTTGAGCCTAATACATGGACCAAGTCCATTCATTCTTTGCATTACCCGTCTGTGTGATTAAATTTGGTTCCTCCAACTACGGTGATGCCATCGTCCTGCGGTTGTTTATTTGTAGCAGTAATGGGAGATGAACTTACAATACAAAAGGCAAGAACAGGTCACCTTGCCCATTTACAAATCTGGTGGCCACCAGAAACTAGTTCTCCTCTGCAGCCAGGAAGTCCCAGCCTTGTCTTCAGAGGACACATTGCTCTGTGGAGATTCCTTCTCGGCAGGAAATATATTTTTGGTGTTGGGCCACTACAAGTGACTCCTGATGACTTTTCTTTGACTTTTGAGGCAGGAGTACCTCAATTTGTACTCAGGTCACTTTATCAATATCAATGTCAATGCATAGGTCCAAGGTCAACTGGAAGTTCTGCTCTTGTGCTAATGGCAGGACTGTACCATCTCCATCTCCTGCCTCATTTCAACAGAACAATGTTGAGGGGAGGTGAGGCTGGCAGCAACCATCTTTGATTTTTTTTTTTAAGGCTTTTGGGGAGTACTTAGCTTTGTTTCTTATGTCAGGATATAACATATACTGAATAACGTGCACATTCTTAGTCCACAGCTCAAGGAATTTGCACCAATGTGCATACACACCAGACACTAGCTTGTAGATAAACACCAGAGACTAGCATCCTAGCCTCCAGGTCACAAGAGGGAAAATTTCCATCGCTCATGCCTCTTCCCAGTCATGGAGGTTCTTATCATGGAATTGTTTTGTTTTGTTTCCTTCTCATTTGTTGTCGAATTATTAGCTTATTTCATGTTTACAAAAACTAAAATCCGTCCAGTAGATCATATTTCCTTCCATGGCAGCCCCTCCTCTGTTGACAGTTGGCCATGTTGGATGGAGTGAAATCCCCTTTCTGTTCATGATTCCAATGTATCCTGAGCTCAGGTGTCCAGTCCTCTGTTCAGAAAATGAGGAGGTGGAAAAAAGGGCTCATTTCCTTGAACTACCCACAGGACACCAGTTTCCTTCAAAGGCACAAAGGACAAGGGGGAGAGGAGGCCAGTTGGCATCTCTCAGTAGGGACAGCACATCCCTCCATCTTCTCTCTAATGGACCCCTCCTCTCCCTATTATCTTAACAGCCCTGGATGAGGTTAGAATCAAGCTGTTCTGATTTCTGGGCCATTGGTTGGATCCAAAAGGCCAAATAAGTCCAGAGATTCCCCTTGGTCATTTATCTCATGCCAAGAGGAAAACAGCTTCTCAATTCAGTTTGCCTTTAAGATGTGGACAGGTCTCCATAAAGCAGAGAATCCGAGGGTCGGGGCTCTCTTTATGACCTCCCCATCCCTTTGTCGCAGCCAGCATTTCCTTATCACTGCCCCCAAGAAGTCAATAAAATCAAATTGCTCTGAAATCTAGGTTGAAAATATTTCTTAACTCTCGTTCCAGGTGAAAACCTCCAAAATGGTGTTCCTTTCCTGGTCCAATGTGGGTGGGCTGGTGGCTGGCAGCTTTTGTTGATGGGTGGCCCAAATGAGGCCTTGCGACCGACACTGGCTTGCCCCTGGTCTGATACCATTAGTCTCTTTCCCTGGCATTTCCACTCAAACCCCCACCTGCTGACTTCACATCACAGACTTCCTGTAGCTTTGTTCTGGCTCTGTAATCTTTTATCACCACTTTTAGCCTGGTTTCTTTCTCCCTCTCTTTTTTTCCCTTCTTCCTTTATGAAAATGCACTTTGCTTTTAATGTTCTCTTTGGGTCTCCAATGTCCCCCGACCTTAGGGACAGAGTCCCTCCTGTCATCAAGCCAGGACTGTTCACTTTACTTTACGCATTGTTTCCTGGTTCAAAAGCTAATTACTAAGTAGTTTAAAGAAGCCCTTTGGTCACTTAGATCTTTCATCAGAAAATATAAGCTTGGGAAAGGAATGGTAATAAAGGGCCATTAGCACCCTTTGTTTGATGTTGTTTTTCCAGTCAGTAGAACAAGATTGATGAAATGTTATGTTTGGCCAAAATTTGAGTTTTCATTTGGAATTCAGTGTTGAGAGAATGGGCTGTCAGAATCAATAAGTTTTCTTTCGCTTGGGATATGGGCATGTGGTAGTAATTAGCAATATAAGGTCTTTAGTTGAGCAACCAAGCATGGATTCTGGCAGCAAACATAATGAGAAACTACAGTTGTTCTATTTCTAATGTCAAAAAGTTTCCAGATAAAATTAAATGCATTTGCAAAAGGAAAGCAGCTAAACTTTATTGAAAGATAGAGTTCAGACTCTTAAAATAGCATGCAGCACTCCAAGATTTATGTATGCAAAAATGTATATGCTATATCCATGGGCACACATACATACACTTTACTCTCCAGGATTGAGTCAAATGAATACCCAGAAAGCAATTAAAACATATACATAGTTAAAGGATTTGTTTATGCGTACATATTTTAATTCAAAAGTAACAATACATTAGCTTGTTAGAGAACTCAAGGTAACTCATGATCCAGAACTATAGAGACAAAAAACTTTGAAATTCAAAGATTATATAAAGTAAAAAAAAAAAAAAAAGGCGGAGAAACTCAGAGCTTGTTTATACAACACCCACATTCAGGATATTGGAGAATATGAAGATTTCATTGGCACTTCATTTCCACTTTTAATCAAATGTGTTTGGTATAATGTAAATACTTCATGTAGCATCTCTAAAACATCCTCACCATCCACACAGAATCAAGGGCCTAGTGTGGCTTACTCTAGCATTTTCATTACCTGTTATAGGACATCCATACACAACTGTCGGTGGGAGCACACATGCATGCGTGGATGTGTGTGAGCTGTCATGTATTCTATCCTACTATGATGTATTAGGGCTTCTAAGAGTAGGAAGTTGGATGTCAACAATGAATGGTTCAGTAAATGTCCAAAGCAGGCAATTTCTCCATGTCAGGCTTACTGAAGACAATTAGGCTCTTGAGCTGAGACCATCCTTGGGAGCAACCCTCCTGCAGCCCATCCCTCTGTCTCTTCCCCTTTCCTTCATATAAGGCCAAAGCTTCTCAGAGGTGGGGGAAGCACAGGGGGTGCTGAGGCTCCCATGGCCTTTAGATCCCCAGTTCACTCTCCTTCCTCTCACAGCCCCTCACAGTTTCCCCAGGGGTTTCCTCTCTGAGTGTGATTCATTCCACTCCTGGTTAGTTTATGAGAACTGACAAGATCGTGATCTGAGTTCACATGGCCAAAAGCCATGGAAAATAATTGGCCACAGAGAGGAATCCATCAGCTGTAACCCCCCTGGATAGAGCTGGCCCAGCTGTGGAGCCATCCAGGACTTGTGTTTCCCATGATGGGGCTTTGCAAGCCCCAAACTGTGGCAGTCCTAGGCCAGGTATTTGGGATAGAGAAAATGAGATGAGTATGGAGTGGTCTACTGATTTTTGGTAGCCAAATGCTGAGAGGATTCCCAGAAAGGAATGAGAATAAAAAACAAGAAATAGTCATAGGAGGACATACAAGGACAGGGAAGTGAATGTAGTTAACATGGAGGAAAGGGCACCAGGATGAGGATGTCACATCTTCAATCAGGTTTGGGGAACAGTTATCAAGACCAACCCAATTCAAGATAGCCATCTGTGAAGCTTAAATGTTATGTGTTGACCATATGCAAATACTATATTTTATGTAAGGGAGTTGAACATCAGCAGAGTTTGGTATCTGTGGGGGTACTGGATCCAATCCCCTGGGGATGCAAAGGGATGACTAATGCACTGAGCAGTGCTAACTGTCCCATGAGGACAGCACCTCCAGCATATCCTCCTAGTTTCTTATTATTGGGTCCTTACTTAGCTGTGCATTTCCTCTGATCAGAAATAAGCTGTTCATCTCACTCACCTCCTTTCTATCTTTCTGAGATCATGTTCTGTTTCCTCTTGCTGGATATCTTGCATGAACATGAAATTCCACTCCTTGTTTTCTCCACTGTGGTTCTAGACCAATTTTTAAATGATTTGGAATTATAAAGGCTCTGCTGTGCCAGACATGATTATTTCTTTACAAAGACCCATTTAATCTATCCCCCCACAGTCCATCCCTGCCTTAAAGAGAATTAACGTGAGTCATGCCGTCATGTTCATCCGTTCCACATGTGTTTATTGAGTGCTTGCTCCATGCCAGGTACTGGGGACAGATGGATTCCTAAACACTCATACAAACCTCCAAATATGCCACAGCTCCCTCTCTCTCTCTCTCTGTCTCTCTCTCTCCATGTTATTTGGCCACCTAAGTGTTTGGAGAGTTCAGTCTCAGAGCTTATTTAAACCTCTCCTGGTTCTCAGAGGCGAGAGTCTTCTTCCAACGCCATTTCTATGTCTGCTCTTTCTGAGAAGGCCTGGCCTCCAGCACTGAAATTATTTGGGGTGATTCATGGGGTGTTGACTTGGCCTGATAGCTTGGGCCTCCTTTTCCTTCCTGTTTACGTGTATCTCCGGCAACACTCACTCCCATTTCTCCGCCGGCTGCAAGGAGGACTGCTCTTGTGAAGGATGTTTCCTATAAGATGTCATTTAC